GGCCTACAACACGTGAACGACTAGCAAGTACACATTTCATAATGAATAAGAACACAAGCTAGCGAATTCACTGGTCTTAAAAAAAAAAAAAAAAAAAAAAAAAAAATGTAATGTCTAGTTTCATTAAGGAGAATTTTACATAAAGTACTATTGCGTACGCTAACATGCTTAAGCTGTCTACACTAAAGAATATTTAATTTTAATTTATATTTAATATATTATACGAATATTTTTAGTGTTTAAAGTAAGGGGCGGATTTAGGGGGAGGGGGCCGGCCCGGCCCCGGCTCCCCCCACCCTTTTTGGGAGGTAAAAAAAAGGGAAAAAAAAGAAAAAAAATAGAGAAAAAGAAAAAAATGATTGCCCAGAATGCCTCAAATGTTATGTTCGGGCGTCTAGAACACAAAAAAATCGCGGGGGCATGCCCCGGACCCCCTACGACACTGTTGTCTCAATCGGCCCAACTTTCGGTGCCCCCCCCCCCCCCCCCCCTTTTGGACATTTCTGGATCCGCTCCTGAAAGTATTGTCTTCAAACTTGCAGATCCACTCGACAGTGATTTGTTTCGCTTTTTGTTTTATCCAGCTCATTTTCTATGTATTTCAATGTATTTCCTCGTATCCTTGTAAGCTTTTTTTCTGAAGACAAAATAAATGAAATGAAATGAATCAAATCTTATGTGGAAAGTGTGTGTGATGTGTACATATGCCTATATAAACGTAAAGGAATTAAATAAATAGAAAGCATTTATTTTGTTACTAAGATAGACTTTAGTACATTAAATTAATGCTGGGTAAGTTGGATAAAAATACTCAAACCACAAAATATTTAAAGTTAGATTTTATATGATGGTTAGGCCTAGGCCTAGTTGTGATTACTTTATTAGTTGTAAATAGTCAGTTATTGACAGTTGAAGTAGATGTTAGTTAAGTTGTTGGTAAGGATGACCAGGTTTGATTAGCGTTGCTATTTCTTGGTCACACTTGGTAACACATGTTGTTAATGACGGTGACGCAAAAAATATAAAAATAAAGCTGCTATGATTTACTATAAAAGGATACTTATTTAGATAAAATAGTTACTGTAATGCAGTTATAATTAAACGACGTGCTGCGCGGAGAAAAACGGTCAACAATACAAAACCCTCGTATAGGCCAAACTTTTACGACCAATCTGTGATTATTGACATAAAACAAGCACTTGTATTCTAAACAGCGGTGGTCAGCGCAGTTGAAGGCCACACCCACTGTCAGTAAAATGTAGTCTTAGCTAGGCCTAACTAATCCCATGTAATATATATATATTTCATTATTGAAGAAGAAAAGCTCGTGTGTGTAACAAAGTTGACAAAGCAGAGACGGAAAATTTTCGCACAGTTGGTATCAGGGGTGGAAAAATTTCAAGACATGTGAGCATGGGATTTGATTTGATTTTAATTTACTTAGCAGTCAGAGTATACTACAAAAACAATACAAGACAAGTTTAAAGCAAATAATATTGAAAACTCTAAAAGCAAGAATTTGCCCACAAAGAAGCCAATTTCCATTGGGATCCACATGAAGCATTCAGTTGCATAAATGAATGGTAACATCAAAAATGTTATATAGGCCTATAAGTGAAAAAGAAGAAAATTTGCCTAAATTTAAAGAGATTATTAACAATTTAAAGCCAACATTAAAATATCAACAATTTGAAAGAATTTGTGGAAAATATTTGTTAACCAGAGTGATGAAGTAAATCTTTTTTTTGTGATCCAGAAATAAGAAAGAAATACCTAAGCATTAGCAGGGGTGAGGAAATAAAGCCTGGCTTCCATACAATCGCTACACCTGGCAGTCGCAACAGCGTATCCAGTGCAATTCTTGCGCGCTGCGCGTAGCTGTCCCTGACGCAATCAGGAACGCTCCTTGATTCAACAGACCAATCAGCGTCGCCAAAGAAGTCGGCGATAGCGTGTAGCGATTTTTATGGAAACAGGCTTCAATTGCTACCAGAGGAAAACAGCGAAGAGAAGCTTGCGCATTTTTTAGGGGTGTGATAAAGAAATGTCAGCAGACTTCGTATCAGAGGTGGTGACGAAGAAAGAATCAAGCACTTGTGACTAGGGTGACGGAGAACGGCCCTCACATTTGTCACACGATAGGCGACAAAGCAGAGCCCGGTCCATTCGTAGGTCTACAATGATAACATGAACTATGACCTCCTATGATAATGGCTTAACAGGTCCTACTGCATTGCAGATGAGAAACTTCAGAAGGGCGTTTCGTATTGTAGAATTTATGGTAATGAATTACTAAAATTATATTGGTCTATATAACAATTTCTTTTCCACAGTACTCATTTTTATAAATATAGAATCATTGTCTGTGTAAGTAATAGTATTTATAAATTCTATTTTATAAATCTCATCAATTTTTAAGGTTTTGTGTGTTTTTTTAATAACTAAAATATTAATAATAAATAATACATATTATTATTATTATTATTGTCATTATTATTATTATTTTATTATTATTATAAATAACAGTAATTATTATAATATTAATTGTTATTTTATTACATTATTAACGATTATTAAGTATTATTTTTATTGTTGCTATTGTCATCACATTTATCTTTATTTTATCATCATCGTCATTATGGAAACTTAATTATTAATATTGTTTTAAATTACATTATATATTATCTTAAACCATCATCATTATAACTAGGCCTACTTTAAAAAAATACTGCTTATATAGAAATGATCTTTATTATTGGTCTGATAATTATTAGTTCGCTGCTTCACGCCAACATCTGCTAAAATGTTTCTTTATCTAAGCTGGTTTGTCTCCCTCTTGCGCCAACAAACTTTTCGGCTCGTTACACGCATGCGTGTCAGTATCACAGGAAACGAACAAACGAACGGATACAATATTACAGATGCTTAGGCCTACAAAGTACACGTTTGTCCAATTTCAAAGTACATGACTTTATTTTATTGAGAAAGATTTTAATCTATAGTACAAATCTTACATGTAAATCTTAACATTTTTTTTTTTAAAATAAATTATGGAGTGTAAAAAGTAGATACAAATTGGATATTTTGCATAATAAATATCAATGGAATGCAATGAAACTGCACTTTTGTTTCTGAATCAATAAATAAGAGAAATGATCCCCAACTGGATCGAAGTCGACAAGTATATTAACAAATGAACAAAAAAGTGATTTATTTCTGATATATATAACACAAGATATTATAAGATAATTAAGAAATGTACAGCTGTTTTGTTTCGGTGAGGTGGAAATCGGCCATTAAACCCGGAATTCATTTTTAGATTAAAAAAAAAAGAAGAAATTGCCCCCAAATTGTCTTTCAAAAATTAAATAATTTTAATAACTGCAGCATTACTTTTGAAATATCAACTGCAAAACGTTTTACGTTGTTTCGGAAATGTCTCCAGTCGTACCTTCACTACTATCAGACTCGTGGGTATGCACATGCGCAGAGGTAGCAGACGGATGCCTATTGGTACGAGACGCGAGTCTATGACAACGGCAGTCGTGTGATTCTTCGCTACCCTCTTTCTTCTGTTTTACTCTGCGATTTTGGAACCATATCTTGACTTGTTTCTCGGACAGGTTCAGGTAGGTTGCAATCTCGATTCTACGTAGTCTTGAAAGGTACATATTCGCTGAGAATTCGCGCTCGAGCTCGATCAATTGTGTACTGGTGAACGCCGTCCTTATTCGCTTACTACTTGAATTATCATCGTCTGCCTCCGCGTGCCGCTTTGTCGCTAAAAAGAAAAAAAAAAACCCAACGAATTATAAAAATGTATTTATCAAAAATAAATATTATTAAAACAATTTGGTTTTATCAGATAGATATATTGAGGCTCAAATACAGTTATTGAAGTATGCCCTAAATAATAATTAAATTAATTATAACGAATTTAAATTAATAACATATCAATTAAGTCAACAATATTTACACCGCAGATGATTATGATTATAAGAAGATGAAAATGCTAATGACTATTTAATGACAAATATAGCATTCACTTACAATCTTTTTATTTTATATAGAAATATATTTTTTTTATAAAGAAAGCATATTTTGAAATTCAATTTGAATAGCCTGATCATGTACAATAAGTTTGTATCATATTCCATAATTTATTACGGTACATATTTTCAAAGTCGAAGGTATAAGCATGTACTTTCTTAAAATGATTTTTATGTGTAAAAATGTACATATAGAAAATATGAAATTAAGAATTGAATAGCCTGTAAGGCCTATACCATTTGTATCATAAAACATAACTCGATTAATTATTACAATACATTTTAATTTTAGAGTTGACAGTTTAAACATGGAGGTATACATTTTCCTATACCTCCATGGTTTAAATATGCCTGTAAGGCCTACACAATTTGTATCATAAAACATAACTCGATTAATTATTACAATACATTTTAATTTTAGAGTTGACAGTTTAAACATGGAGGTATACATTTTCCTATACCTCCATGGTTTAAATATGTACTTGTTTATGCTTTTCATGAAATATTTACTCTAAAGAAAATACAAATTTATTTAAACTTACGAACATAATGAATAGCACGAGGATCCACCTGGGGAGAACATGGCAATTGAGTAGCTGGTCCAGACGATCTGGGTGTGAAATGGTGCGAGGTAGAGTGCAAAATACTAGGGTGAATATGATGTGCCCCGCATCGATCCAGAAACGGGCTGAGTTGGTGGTGATACGGATGCGAAACTATCGGAGCTGTTACCGTTGATTTAAACGCTGTATCCGTCGCAGTAGGAAGAGAAACACGACCACAAGTCGTAGAATTTCTCACACAGAGCGGGCAACTGCCCATTAGATCAGTGTGTGTTTGGAAACAGTGAACAGTCCTAGGCTCGGATGGGGTAAAACCTAATGGAGACCGAGATGAAGTTATCACCGGCGACGGTTTTGTTAAAATCAGAGAGTCGACGTAAAACGATCGAGATAACTTCTCTTTCCTTTTATCATCTTTCATGGAATCAGTCGCTGGTATTTTTTGATGATGATGCATCGTGCGGAAGGTGTAGCTACTCTGACTTGTTGATGGTCTGACCAAAGCAAAGTACTTCGCTGGCTATTTATACGCCAAAGGTAATCATCACCCACGTGCCTCGCTAGGATAACAGTTAAGTCTGTTGACAAAATAGCACATTAATTTAGCTTATTACGTTTGGTCTTTTCTCTCAAAACAAAGGCCTCCCCTCTTACGTCGAGGCTCGCGATTGGCCTTTCCATTGGTAGGGTATTGTTCTTTTCTCGCCGTTTAGTATGTTGCCCGAAAGTGTGTAAAATGGCTGGCGTGTGCCTCGCACGCGAGTCCCTCTTATCTAAGCCCATTGGAGCGTGCTAAGCTAGGACAGAGATGTAGAGAGCTATCCTTCTTACAAATTAAATCGACCAATAGTATTAATAGGTAGACTGACTCCGCCCTCCCGTGGAGTCGCTTAGCACGCTTATTGGTGCAGAGTACCAAGAGTTGGGAGAACGGCAAATGCTCTTATCCAACCAAGCCAGGCTAATCCTACAAACATTGGATTCTTTTTAACTTCATTCAGTCGCAAAATGATTCCGTCAAAGAGAAGGAAATAACCCACTAATTATTATCATTGTTTTAACAATCGCCAAAGAGGTTTATTGACGTTGACATTTGACAAACTGATTATATATTCCGTCTCTGACGTTGTCTTCAAGATGAGGAAAACAACAACAAAACAACAAAGACAAATAAAAGTAAAACAAAACGAAAATGACAAACACAATCATTAACATATGTAATCAACTCTGATCCCACGTGTAAAACAAATTGGATTTTGTATACAATACTCGAAGTCGTAAAGGTGTCTACACGCTGCCTTTAGCCCAATGCATTATATACTCACAAACACTTTGCTCCTATTATTTCCTTACATTTATTCGCGGCTGCTTCAGTTCTAAGACTCGTATAATTCATTATCATCGACTAACACAATCGGTTTTGTTGTTGTTTTAGGCGATATAATTAATGATAGTATCAAAATATTGTCATAAACAATGCCGAACAAGTTCAAAATAATAATCAATAATTTTGATTTTGAGGTTCCATATATACTGTAGGTACTAGTATTGCCAACTACATTTATTCATTATATATATATATATATATATATATATATATAATAATATATATTCGTTTATGTTTATATAGTAATGTACATATGAAAAGGTCAAATTACGCAATTAGGCCTACTTGTAAATTCGCTGCCTTTCGACATACGCGCATTCAGCTATTCTGTGTCGTTTGTCTCTGCTGTTGGCCGGGTGTGTGTCTACGATGTCTAATCCTTTCATGTCCTCTTTAATTGTACTAATCTAACGTTTAGCCCTTCTCTAGATTTTTGAAATTGTCTTTTTGGCTTCAGTTTAAGCGATCGATTTTTGTCAGCCGGCAGTGCCACAATTAGGCGCCCATGATAATTCAGACTACGTCTTTTAACTACACACATTTTCATATTTCATGCCACTTTATATTAATAATTTTCCTTAGATATTACTTTTAAGCGTTGATAATACTGCAGTAAATAAACAAATATTAATGAAATGAGAATTTCGTCCTTTTATCTGTCATTATATCTCTTGCATGATATATATATATATATATATATATATATATATATATATATATAGGCCTATATATTTGAATATTTATTATTATATTAATTATTATTTTATATTTATTATTTATTTATTTTTAAATTTCATATTACTGTAGTGTAAAATTTGACAATACAGATTATCTTATCATATCTGACATTCTTGTAATGTAAATAAAAAAGCATATTGTGTATTATGATACTTGATGAATAACGTGTTCGATCAGAAAAAAAAAATCCACCAGACTGGACTCCGCGGTAAGATAAAATAATAATAATAATAATAATAATAATAATAATAATAATAATAATAATAATAATAATAATAATAATAATAATAATAATAATAATTATTATTATTATTATTGCGGATTACGAAATGAATGTAAGTATACAAACGAGGAATCTATCCCAGAATTTTAAAACAAATCAGTTGTCTACCGGACTAAACCCTACTTCATGTCCGACGTAAATGCAATCACGTAACAACTAGCTAAACCCTAGGCCTAAAGTATAGTGTAAATGTCATTGCCTACAGCCCGGCACAGCAGCTCTGGCCGTAACAGAAACTCTACCTTAAATTGAAGACATCAATAATATTATAATATTGGCAATACACACCTAAAAGTTACAAAAAAAATTACACGATAAAAAAAAATCAACAAAGAAAATTAATATAGATTGAATAACGCAATAAATTGACATGATTTATTGCCGTATTATGTGAATACTTTCCAATAAGCCTAGTGATACCAATATAATAAAATTTTAACGGGGAAACAATAGATAGAGAGGCTTAGGTAAGTGTGTAGCGTTTGACGGTCCTCTGGGAATACGAACGGAAATTGTTAAGTTTTTAAGCCGAGTCTTGGATGGGGACAGGCCGATGGCTGTTCCAAATACTATTGATTAGGAGGCAACAGAAATTAGGCCGATTACTAGTACAGGAAATTGGAGAAATATTAAAAATCATAACGTGGATGATATGTGTATTCTATATTATATAGATAGTGTAGGTAGAAATATATAAGCATATACATATAGGCCTAATTATAACAAATGAATTTCGGGAAAACACCGAACGTTTTACAATTGTGTAAGAAATTATAATCCAATTCAGCTTTAATGAAACGTAAGGATATCTTCTCGTACTTCCTGAGTAAACAAATAGGCAGATCTTTCGAACTAAAGTCATTGATAATGGAACCAGATGGACGCAAATTGATGAAAAACACAACACATTTTAAGAAAAGAACCTTTCATATAATTATATATATATATATACTGTCTCTTATACACATCTAGATGTGTATAAGAGACAGCCAATGCATTACTGTACCTGGCAACTAATGCAGCTACAAAATAAAATTTAAGTAAATAGATTCAGTTAAAAATGAAGCTCTACAAATTTATTGTTTTATATTGTCCTCGACTATATAAACAATATTATATTGTCTTCGACAGAACATTGCATATTTCTTGAGAAGAAAATGTGTTGACATAATAGAAACACCAAATATATTCAAGATGAATATTTTGGGACTGTAATTTGAATTACAGTATTACTGTGTTGGGCTATTACCGAAAATCAATCAATTGTATGTTCTTTAAAACAAGACATTTATATTGTTTACAATACTTTTGCTCCGCTTTTCGTTTCTTCAAATAATTTAAGTTTCTTCGCAATAATTTCAAAATGCGCACAAAAATGTTTCAATTGTAGTCGAGATAACTAGACCGGTTCAGGTCTGAAAATGATCCAATATTTTGTTCTCACATCCAGAATATTAACTCACCCCATGAATAAAAATAGCTATATTTTCTAGCGTTTATTATTTACAATGTAGTACCTTTGTCACAAAAGTTCTCCCTTACAGGCCTAGACCTAACGACATCTTCTTCATTACTATTTACAATAATATGAAATGAAGTTGGCCTATATACTGATCCATATCATCACCACGGCCATTAAATCTTCATTATAATAATCACTATCATTCGGTATCTATTATATAATCAAATTGAATTAAACAACATATTTAAATTTTTCTGAGGATAAATTGAAAGTAAACTTAATTTTTGTCAAAATGCTCTCCAAAAATTGAAATAAAATCATATACAGTTATCGCACTTTAATAGGTTCAGATCTCTGTTAAATTTGTGTTCAACATGTTATTAACTAACAGTATAACCAGACACAAAAATTAAGGCTATTCTAAAAATCAATGCCAGTCCAATTATGATTTAAAAACGCAAACAGAGTGATTTGTATACAATTTGGCGCTATTTCAAGTACGTATAATATTAATATCGTCATTATTAATAATAACAAGCCTAGTAATAGTATAAAGACGTCTCTTATAGATAACAGGTGCGGTTTAACATTTAGTTTTATGAGAGTCAACGTCATTAAATTACAATACCTATATCTATCATCAAGCTTGTAGACCTTTAAAATAATGCAAGGAAAAGGCAATTTCATTTATATTGGTTATAAATCTGAAAACAGTCGCCTAATAGAGTGAAATTTGTGTAGAAATACAACTGGAATACAGGAGTATAGGCCTATAAAGTTGCTCGGATATTGTCGAAGTCTAATGAACTACCATATACACTACTGCTATGCAGATCTCCCCTAGGCCCATTGAGCGTTTTAAAGCCATGGATCCGGAGGAAGAATTTGTTTTGATATGTTGTATAACTGATTTTTTTTCCCGACATTAGTCTTCTGTGATAGTTTATCCATGTTGTATCTCACACCCAAAAAGTTCAATAAAACACTTTATTCGAGAATTGCCTTCAATCAAAATAAACTACTAAAAAGCTCTACTTTAGGTGTAAATGTTTGTTAGGCAGTATATGCCGCCGACTGCATGTAGGGCAAGAGATACGAAAAACCTGATGGAACGGGGAAAAGACGTCTAAAACGGGCCCCTTATTTAGGACAAAAAATAAACTAGTCAAATGAGGTCATGCAGTTCCATTGACAGTACCAAGTTTCATGTTTTCGGAGCCATTTAAACAATTTCTACGACAAAATATCTAAATTTCAGTGTCTAGATATTTTGTCCTTTGAATTTAAAGTTCAAATTGAGGAAGCATTAACAGTCTCTTACTAAGTGTAACTTAGTTTTATCAATGGCTATTATATATAATAGGTATTAGGAGGAAATATTAGGCCTACCATATAGGAATTTTGATGGTTTTACAGAAATGCAATTTTATCAGGCCTGGAACCAATACTGGTAGCCTGATATGCCTCCCGTTCTAAAAAGCTGAACGTTTTAGTGCATTGGGGGCCTGTTTTGGACTTGAATACGTAGGCCAGGGGCGGATCCAGAAGTTTTGGTTAGGGTGGCTATAGGTATATGTGTAAAGTGCCTCCAAGTGCCTGCGGAGGCTGGGTTTGGGAGGAGGTGTCTCCGTCCGATAAGATGGGGTTCAGAGGGGTGCTGAACGCTTTAGCTAGATGTATGTATGTATGTGCGTATGGGTGTATGTGTGTGTGTGTGTGGGTGTGTATGTGTGTATGCATGTATGTATGTATATATACATACACACATACATACAT